ACTCCACATCCCATCACCACCAAAGGGAAGGTGGCTGGGACCTGAGGGTGGGGTTAAGCAGCCAGGTGTGGTATAAAGCCAGACATGTGGGCTTTGGAGGGGTCCCTCATTTTGGCCCTCTGCCAGCTCGCAGCGTTAGGCCAGGTCTGAGAGTACCTTTGGGTTTCCAGGTCAGCGGATCGGGTAGGACGCATTAAAGAATTTATTTCCCTATTTTCTCTCTGAGTTGTACATTTCCTTAATTCCCTTTCCCTTGTAATTAAACCTTTTATTAACCTTTTGTGTGTGCCTGTAGTGGAGTATTAATAAGTTCCTTTTAAGTGCGTGGGTGAGGACCCACAGCCAGGCAACCCGTTTTATTTTATATCAGGGTTGCCCTATAACAGAATGAATCCTAACTCCTAGAGTTAAGAGGCTAATCCACCCAAAATATGAACCGCAATCACATAATGAAGGAAAGGGGTGCTCCCTCTGGAAAAGAAAATCTGAAGGCTATTAGGAAAAGAAGGGAAGAATGAATATTTTATCCATAACCAATGAATTTACTTTGCTACCTCTGTATCCACACCAGATATTTAATGGATAAGGTCAAAGACAGCATAGACCTTGATAATGGCGTCTTTGACTGCTAAATCTCAAGGTACATTATGCAACAGTTTTAAACCAGCATCTTTGCTGGTTCAGCCTATGAAGGTATATCAGCCTATTGAGGCAGGACTTTCCCAAAAGTCTTGCCAGCTTTTTTTTGGTGGCCAGAGCTGTGCATTCTTGGGAGATAGTATTAGGACTAATGGTGATTCAGTCCTGGCTTTTGTAACCCAAATTTAATCTCCTTGTTGTCTGCCCAGCTCCAGTGTCATTATCTCAGATATCCTCTACACACCCTTTTTATTTTTTTAATTTTTTTTTAAGATTTATTTATTTATTTATACAAGCACTGGGTACAGTCAGAAGCGCAGGAGGGTGAGAGAATTCACCAGAGCCAGAGCGGGGAGCAGAGCAGGCAGAAGGACCGAGGTACACTGCTGAGGGGAGCAGCAGGCGGCAGGAGAGGTCTGCGGGCCATGTGGGACCCTCCTCTGGTGGCCGGGGAGCAGCCGGGGATCGAACCTGCAGAGGCCGCGGGCAGCTTCGCAACCCGGCGCTCAACCACTGTGCCACCAGGGAGGCCCTACACATCCTTTTACAATAATACTCATCACAATAGACATCAGAGGCTGTTAGATGTCTAGCATCTCCACAGGAACCTCACCCTCCTTAGGAAGGGACCATCTTTCACCCGTCTTTAGATTTCAGCCTGACGTAGCAGCTCACCCACCGGCAAAGAATGGCAAAGAATGACTAATCAAATGAGTGGCACTGGCTCTGAAGAGAGGGCTTGGCTTTCGCTCACTGAATACTAGGGAGGCCCTTTAGCTCCTCCTCATCTCCACTTCAACAAGATGAGAAAATCAGCAATAATCTGACTCGTAGGGTTATCCAAAATTTGCATTATAAAAAATAAAGTGATGACAATGTTCTCTTTCAAATTTTCATTCATTCTAAGAGGTACATTTTTTTCATACTTTAACATCTCTGAAACAGATCCATTCTTGGACTGAATGTATGTCTGTCCCCCCCATTCATATATTAAACTCTAGTACCCAAAATTATGGTATCATAAAAAGGGGTCTTCTGGAGATTCTTAGGTTATGAAGGTAGAGCTTCGTGCTCTTATAAAGGTGACATGCCATTTGAGGTTTACAGTTAGAAAGCACAATGAACCAGAAAGGAGGCCCTCACCAGACACCAAATCTGCAGACACCTTGACTTTGGTCTTTCCACCCTCTAGAACTGTGAGAAATAAATTTCTGATATTTATAAGTCACCTGATTCATGATATGTTGCTATAGCAACCTGAGTAGACTAAGACCTTCCTACAAGCCATGTGTAAGTATATTTTCATTCAGTGTTTTTTGTCTCATGGGCTGTCATAATATTTTATAAAATAATGGTGACTTACAATTAAAAGTGTCTGGTAGTCAACAACATGTGTTATCAATATCCATCAATATCTTGCCTCTAATAAGGATCTCAGAATCTGCCTAAGAATCAGCTGTTCTATTTTTTGACCTCAAGAGTTTCCCTCTGCATCCCTTAAAGCATCGTGGATGCCTTTAATAACTCCCGAACCACCTTACTTATAAAGTGTTGCCAAAGCTTCTGGGAAATTATTTGGATTTTGATTTCCACATGTACTGGTATGTTATTTAGCATAATACTTCATCTTACTTGTCTTTATTTTCCATTACAATCTCACTACCACCACCAAGCTTTAAGTAATGGGAAGAACTTTGAGGTGTCTTGGAAAAAATAACTTCAGTTCTAGTCCCATTGCCATTAATTAGCTATATCTCTAATCTCTGTCATCAGCAAAATGGGGATGTCAGTATTTTCTTCACAGTTATGCAAGGTTGGATGAGATCATGTATATGGATATCCTTTAAAATTACTGCGTTCTGAAATCTGACGAACAGAGAGGCCTCCTTCCCCTCTGTAATTTTACTGTCTTGGACAGTTGCCAAAGACAACACTTCAGAAGAAAGGGTGTCTTTTAAGATTCATTTGATTGCTTCCTATATTCACCCACATAAGCATGGGGATGATATCTGTTCTCCAAACACCTATAAGACATGGAAAACAAAGTGACCGATTATTATATTTGACTGTACGGAGTTCCAGTAAGGATGTGAACTTCATTACCTGAAATGTTAGTGTCCCCCCAGTTTTAACTGGTCCTGCAAGAACTACTTCCTCTGCTAGGCCTGCTAGCCCAGCCATGGTGTTTTCAAGACAGTACAAGTTTTAACTTGAGATAGTGAGTTTCTTTCGATGTCACGGAAGAAAAGCTTCCTTTTATGTTTGGCATTAAAGTAGCAATCATTTATTCATTTATTTGCATCCTCTTTCCCCCTTCTTTTCCTTTTTCAACTTTGTAATTTCCCCTATTTTTCATACTATTAAAGCTCAGGGTGTTTGTTACTTGATTTTAGACTTACATTGTGACAGGAGAGTTTGATGATACTAGGACACCAGTAGATATTTAGTGCCCCCTTTGTGCTTCATTTACCCCATCACCTCATTTCTGTAAGCATCTCAGAGCAATCTCAAGAGGGTTCTGTATTCTGTGCTGAGGTGACACTTGTCAGAGATCACAAATAACTAGACCCAAACCTCCTGAGGACTACCAACTTTGGTTTTGATTTTTTATTTTGTTTGAGTATAAGGAAAAGAGGAGTGGGAGGAATGGTATTTGAGCAGGCATTTGGCATATTTTTAATTCACTTAAGCTGGAAGCTATCTTATTCCACTTTCTGTATCACTTTATTTTTTTTTTAATTCCTATAAATGCAATTGCTAGTGGGTCATTTTCCTTTACATTTTGGGGGGAACAATTCCAGATTCATGTGGCATTACAGAATAAATCACTAGCTAGAGGGATTTTATAAAGCAGACAGTCTTGGGGAATAAATGGAGGTAAGTTGCATGAATGAGTTGGTACAAAATTGCTAATAAAACCTACAACACAGGTAAAGGGCAGAGGGTATAATTTGCTGACAAAGTTATTTCATACCATTACCAAGAACTAAAGATATAAAAAATAAAGTATATATTATTAAGTGAAATTACAAACGAGAGGCTTACCTAAAGAGGAAAAAAATTCCAATCCTGAAATTTATTTGTATGAATAACCACAAAGAAAGAATTTTTCTTTGTTTTTAAATGTTTTTTCCTTGGACAATGAGAAAAGGATTGCGGTCTTCATTTGTCAAACTTAGAGTTTGTAAGATGCAATTCTTATAAAGTATGAAATCTTTGCATTTCACAACTTTTTGGTTTTCTTTTTGCTTGATTATTTTATTGTTTTACTACTTTTGTTAAGTTTTTTTTTTTAACTTGTTAGTTTTCTCTAAAGAGTAAAGAAAAGCCGCGAGAAGTATTTTTATGAGAAAACTTGAAAATCCAAATTTCTCACAAAACCCGTAATAGTTAAAAGTACAACGTAAGAACATAAAATGTAATTAGACTTCCCGGATAATTTTTGGTTAATAAATAGAGTAAGGTGCAGAAAATATATTTGGAGAGAAAGGGAGAAAGAAATACATAACGGATAGGCAGCACTTAATTGAAGTGGAAGTTATATCTAAAATATCACTAAGCAACACTTCTTTTGGGAAATCTTAATAGAAAGCAGAAAATCATTTATATTTTATTGATCCTTTCCTTCACATTCATCAAATGCCTCTTCACTGTAGCAAAATGGCATGTTCCTGGAGCAGAAACGTCCCTTGTAAAACGCTGCAGAAAGATACTTCTTTCTTCTTGCCTCCTCGCTGGGGGGAGGGGGGGGGAGTGGGAGGCAGGTGTGTGTGTATTGGGGGCGTGGTGGTGGTTTGGTGTTGGGTGTGTTTTGGAGGTTGGGGGGCCTGCCCCGGAAAAAAAAAAGGCAGACTGGGCTTTCCTGGCGGGAGGGAAGTCAGGGTGATCCCTCTCATTGTGCTGCTGAGATTATTTGCTGCGCAGCAAGTGCTATTCGTCGCCCGGCTTTCTAGAAAAAAATGCCCACTAGCTAACGCGCGCCCAGACCTTAGGAGGCCAGGGAATGTGGCCACCCAGGCCGGGCTGCTGGGGAGCCAGGACTCTTCTGGGCCGCGGGCCGGGAGGGCGCTCGCGGGGTCGCAGCCAGGAGAGGGCTGGTGTCCCGAGAGCTGATTGCGGGACGCCCCCTCGGAGCGGCGTCAGCTTCCCCCGGGTAGCCGCGGGCGCTGCACCCTCCCCGCGCCGGGACCGGCGCGCGGCCAGGGATGGGGAGGGGCGGGCTCGGGGGCGGGGCCGGGCGCGGGGCAGGGCCGGGCAGGGCCGGGCAGGGCTGCGCCTCGCGGGCCACTCGGGCTGCTCCGGGCCGCCGCTGTGCGAGGAGCGCAGCACTCGCCGCGAAGGTCTGTGCGGCCGCGGGCGCCGCCGGAGTGCTGGCCATGAGGACCCTGTGGCTGGCGCTGTGCGCGCTGACGGGGTTGTGGCCCCGGGCCCTGGCCGGCTGCACGGAGGCGGGGCGCTGCTGCCCCGGCAGGGACCCCTCCTGCTTCGCCCAAGGCTGGAGGCTAGACAGGGTCTACGGGACATGCTTCTGCGACCAAGCCTGCCGCCTCATTGGGGACTGCTGCTTCGACTACGCCAGAGCGTGCCCAGGTGGGTGGCTGGCAGAGGGTGGGACGCTTGGTTGTTCGTCTACAGCCAAGGGGTACAGGGTCCCACACCAAGCACCACTTTTCCAGAGGCCGGGGTCTCCAGGTCCCACCCATCCTGATGGGTCCAGCCCTTCTATCCCAGCCCATTTAGTCTTCTCCATCCAGGTACTCCCAGCTCCCTTCATCTTAAGTTCCTCTGGGTACACTCCATTCCATCTACCCTAGGGCTTTCCAGCTCCCACGATCTAGGTGCACACTGTACTCTCCCTCCACACTCGGCTTTCCCAACCCCTTCCATTTAGGGATTTTCCAGTCCAATTCATCCAGACTTAGTTCTCCAAGCACCTCTTCCCCGTAGAGTATGGAAGGAGCTAGAACCTTTCTTCTCCTGGAAGGGGGCAGGGCCACCTTTGCTGGAAGAATTTTCCAACTCAGGAACTCCACCTCACTAGAGTTGGCACTGGCAGTTCCAGGGGCACACCCTGGGTCAGGCCCTACCACTTTTCCTGGAGCATCTTAGGGACCTATGAGGGATGATGGGAGTTGGGGGGAATGTGTCATTACCCCACTTTGTGTGGAGGACTTGCTCTAGGAAAGTACTTTCTTCTGGAGAGCAGTCTCTTGGAGGACTACAGTTGTCTTCACCTCTAGACTCCAATATTTAGCACAGACCCTTCCTCACAGGACGTATTCCATGTATTCTTTGAATTCAATTTCTCTATATAGCATGATATAAAAACGTTTATCCTAGGGTGCCTATTATATTTTAATCTTGCCAGTTTTCCTTTAGGGGCTGTCTTTTTCATCTTTAAATTTCTCACAGTATAACCACCCTGGTAAGGACTCTATAGTGGTTGATTTAATTAAGTTGAAATGTAAAGGAAGAAATAGGTCACGTTCCTGAAGAACAAAGCATACCTGTGAGAAGCCAGCTCTAGAAGTAAAGTTACCCCATTCCCCGTTAATCACATAATGCCCTGAACCACTTTGACCTCAAGGATCCCAGCTTTGTAGGATCATCAGCATCTTTCTAGGTGAGTTCCTTGGGCCTGTGTCTTTGCCAGGGGAACTGCATGATGGGTAGAGAGGAGCCCCTTTCTGCCTCTCTGCTGCCAGTGCAGCCAGCCCATGGCAGGACCATCACCCAAGCCAGCTGCTGAAAGAACACCGTTGAAAAACATGAAGATTTTTTTGATGTTCGTCAAAAGTTAATGATTTACCTGTGAATACTGATCTTTTTGTGTAAGCTTCTTTCCCTCTTCTGCTCCAAGGCCAGGGTACTTTCTACTAAATTAAGACGAAGTGTTAGTTACTTAGGAAATGCAGTGCCCTCAGGCCAGGCATCCTAGCCCCTCCAGCAGCATCCCACCTAACTTCCCATTTGCCATAGATACCTGACTCTGTCCAGTTCAGCCTCACTGAGGTCGGATCATTCTTCCAGGGGGTTACCAACATCATAAAGATGAATACAGAATTTCTGTTGTCTAGACACTGTGTCCTGACCTCCGGTAAGCACAGGGTTATAAAGATGATGAGGACAGTATCTGGTCCCTAGAAGTTCATAGTCGAGCCAGGAACACACATGTACAAACAACTGCAACATACTTAGTGCCCAATTAAGGGATCTGGGAGACTGGAGAGGAAAAACTCAGAAGACCCAGAGAATTCAAGCAAGATTTCCCAGAGGAAGTAATAAGTAAACCTGGTCTTGGAGAATGAACGAAAGGTCTCTACTAGGAAAAGAATTCTAACAGGAAAACATAGCATGGTTGCTACGTTACCTGTGGGTATTAGTCTTTTGTGCCAGACACTAGTCTGGGCCTTGAGGCTCAAGTGGGGAAGAGGATAGACAGATAGTGATGCAGTTAGATATAGAGAGACTGCAGCGCAGAAGAGGGATGGAGAGACAGAGGCGAGATTTATGATGACAACAGCTTCCTAGTGAGATCTTACTGTGTCGCGAGCAGTTCCAAAATCCTCGATCTTTATTTGGACAAAAATAAATCCCTTGTTTTCAGTCAGGGAGGTTGAAATAGTAAAACAAAGAGCTTATTTTGGAGTGGAAGAATTATCAGGGTAAGGAGAGATGATCTTACCATCTTGGGAAGAACTCAGAAAGAAATCATAGCAACTTTGTAACTAGAAGAGGTGGGCCAAAGAAATAAACCAGAAAAAGAAATGGAGTCTGAAGGAATTTTAAAAGGAGCATATTCTGGAGCTCTAAGTGCCCTTCTCCAGGGAGTTAATGCAGCATCTCACAGACCTAAGCCAAAGCAGACACAGGATTGCACAGGCCCCTCATTGGTTAAGTTCTCTGCACTGGAAGTTTCTTGGAAAGGGAAGAAGAAAAGAGAGACAATGGGAGGTTGGCCACTTGGGGGATGCCTCAGGAGAAGGTTAGAGTGAAGGGCAAGATGGAGCTGAGACCTCAGTCCATTCAGCTTGGGTCCATTCATACTGACTCTGGGGGTTAGGAAAAGGCAGTGTTGGCTTGTATTAGGATTTTACAGGTGCAGAAACTGAGACTCTCAGAGGGCTATCCCATTACTCAAGTGAACACGAATGGGCGGCAGAGTGAGCTCTGGACCCACATTTAGCAAATGCCAGGCTGCCGTCAGTCATTTCTCTCTGTGTCAGTTCATGGGTGTTGCTTATTCCCAGATAATTAAGGCTCAACAGCTCAGAGCCCCAGGTTGCTCTCTTTGCCTAGAACCATTCTCCTTCTTGGAGTCTCTTCTGCTGTGTTACTTACTGAGGCTGCATGAAGCTTTTTTGAAACGAAGTATATTAAATGTGAATGAAAATGTAACTGTGTCAGTAGAACTAAGCATACTTTCTATTTGTTCTGATCTTTCCATCTTGATGAACACATTATTTTTACTTGATAGGCTAAGACATGAAATACTAGAATTTCTAAATAGAACATTTTGGTTATTTTTCCAAACTCAGTGAAATTGAAAATAAGTTTTTGCATCTATAGGACTACTAAACTGCCCCAGAGAGTCTTTTCTGAAACTCTCTCAGAAAATCTCACAACGACATTGTGTTTCAATACCAGTGATATATCTCCATAACCAGTAATATTCTCTCCCCAACAAAAAGGATAGAAAAGTTTCCATTGGTTGTGCTTGATGAGGGCTGGGGGGTAGGTAGAGGAGGGAATCAGATCCAAGTTACCTTTCCCTGAGGAACTTCTTGGAAGGCTTCCTTAGCAGGCTCATAACAGCCGAGTGTTTAATCTCTCTGCTGGTCCCTAGAGTCTGCATTTAACATTGCATTTATTTTTGATGAGCCACTTAAGGAAAGAGTTATAATTAACTCAAGTAGAACAGAACAAAAATTGAGTAGCCTATGTAAGCCAGTCTTCCTCTCGTGGATTTATCAGGAATCTAGGAAAACAACGGGCCCAAACCTGTGGACATTCATCTCTGGAGGAGAAGAAATGTTCTGCTTGAAAATAGAGCTTCAAAAACACACCCAAAGGAAGGATGTCACAGTCAATGATGGTTAGAAAGTTGAAACTGTAATGGAGCCACAGTGTTCTAGAGACCATATGTGGCCCCCGCCCCCCCCCCGCCTTTGTCTGTTGAAAAGATGAGCATCTCCTGGCATGAGTATTCCCCATTGACTTGACTTTGCAGATCTGACAACAGTCACAGAGGGTAGTGTTACCCAGTGTTCCCTTGGTGTCAGGCCCCCTCCCAGCCTAAACCTCCTGAATGTTTTGGTCTCCTTTTATAGGCACAGAATCCTGGGCACTGAGATGTTAAGCTTTAGGAGAAGCTCTGTACTTTGCAGGTTAGACTCCAGATATGTATTGGTAGAGCATGTGAGTCATCTCTCCCCATTCACTGTGTGCAAAAAATCAGGGCAGAAAACAACAAAAATGTGTCCTGCTTCTCCCTAAGCTCCCATGACTATCCTGGTGCTGCTTGATAACGTTTGTCAAAACACACGTGCAGCTGCTCCACCTCAGGATGTTATCTGTGACTCCAGAGGGCACTGCCATCTGGGAGTATCCACATTTCCTTTTTAAAATAACATTTTCCCTCCCTAGACTGAAAAATACATGGTTTTTTTGCTGAAAATTAAGAAAATATGGAAATGCACAAAAGAAACAACTCACCTGAAAATTCACTACCCAGAAAAAGCATTATCTTTCTGAGTATCACCGAACCCTTTTTTCAGGGTTTACATGGTACATAAAATTCAATTTTTTCCAGTGAGGCAGCTCATGTTACTGTCTTGTTAGCATTTCATAAACTTGTCCAGTTAATGTGTTAAAAGAAAAAAAAACCACTAGAAACTAGATAACATGATTTCTACAAGAGGAAAAAAATGACTTAGTCATTTTATTGGAACTTTAAGTGAGTAAACTGGCACTTGGGCAATATAGTCTCACTCACCTTTCAGAGAAGTTTTGCCAAGATCCCTTGGGAGAGGATATATATGGAGAGAGAAAAAGGCAGGTGACATATATATAAAAATGCTGTCCCATGGGATGTATGGGGGGGGAGGGGAGGGTATAATAGAGCTGTTTCCTTTTCCTTCCATAGACTGTCTAGAAACAAAAGCTGTTCATAAATGGTTCTGCTGTAGCTAAAATGTAAAACAGTATGTATCTTTAGGCCTGACTAGGACAATCTGAACATGAAAGAGAAAGTGCTTGATGGTGGGTGGCAGGGAGCCAGGAAACATGCACAACCAACTGCAACAGTAGGCAGGGCGGCTTACAAAGGGGAGTCAGTCTCTGAGAGGATCACTGGAAACTGCTGCGTGAGAATAAGGGCAAGGCCTTATGTTAAGCTGCAATAATCCAAATTCTTTTTATGAAATGAAAGCCTTTGGCTGTCAGCTCAATTTTTTGCTGTGTGTGTGTGTGTGCATTTGCCACTACCAAGAAAACATTAGAAAACTTTTCTTTTGAATTACTCTTTGGTGTCTAAAGATGGAGAATAGTGTGTCTTGTTCTGGCTACCCCAACTCACTAATGCTGTATTG